CAAGATGATATTAAAGTAGAAATCAGAATCACTCATCCTATTGAATTGGAACAAGTTATTTTAGGAGCTATGAATTTAGAATCGTATAGTTTTTCAATAAGAGGTGTGTGAATGCAAGATTATTAATAGTTGGGTAAGTTATCTTTTATAAATTTGATAAACATTACATACATAACTCAAATACTTTTTTTTTTAAAAAAAAAATATGTTTATCTGGTATATATTTTCCTTTGATCGATTAATACAACCAACATTTTGCAAAAATCAAAAGATCCATCGTCATTATCAAAATGTCTCACTTCACCATCATCGAATTCACCTATTATATTTCGTTATTCCCAAATATACAATTTTTCACCAAAATCGTCTTCATCATCAACTACTGCTGAGCTTCACAACAATGATTATTATTCATTTAAAGTGTTAATGTGCGATCCTGTTTTGCAAGGTGTAATTGCAGACCATACAAATTTCATTGTTACAGATATATCATCAGAATCTTTGTTAGTAAATGATAATGATTATATCAAGGATAAAGAAATTGAGCATGAAAAAGAAAATTATGATGATGATGATGATGATGACGATGCCTTGGATTCCGATTTTGATGCATTTTTGGATTTAAAAGATAATTTTATAGAAACCCAATTATCATTACTTAAAGTTAATGGAAGTGATCAATTAAATGGTAACGAATCTGATTGGACATCATCGTCAGCTGCATCATCATCTTTAGAAGAAGAGGAAGGGGAGGATAAGTTGGGAAAGAAGAAGGAGGAGGGATGCAACGATATAGTAAACGATAAATTTGTTTCAAAAAAATTAGCATTCACCCCTATTGCTCTGTCATCTCCAATTTCATCAACTTTGCTACAACCACAACCAAGTGAAAAAGAAGATTCTAATTCTAGAGTGTTGATTGGTTTAAAAGAATTAGTCAAATTAGGTTTTCAATCTGGGAGATGGGTATGCAGATCACACAAAACTTATTTACTGCTATACAATTGCTAGTACTATCATCATCATAATAATAAATTTTAAATTTTATATTAATATGCATTGTTAAAAGGCTTTAGTATCTGGTCCTGATTT